AGTCTTAATTGCATTACACGTTGCATAAAACACATTGATACCATTATAATACATATTACAATCTAGCACTTTAAAATAATATAATTATTTTAAATATTTAGCAAACATGCCATATATGCAACAATTAAAAAAATTACAACATTTTGGTACCAAAATTATTGTTTGGAGTGGTTGGTACGCCGGGAACTGCGTGAATGAATCTCAAAAGGTGTAAATAGTGAAGTGTCCGGCGAAGCTGTTTTTGTCCCCCAAGATTTGTGTTCGGAGGTAAGATATCATATTGCTAGTTTTTTTTTTAATTATTTAGGAGCGTGAGAGATGCCTTAGTGGCAATTAATATTATTTAAATAAGACAGTTTAACGTGTGCTTACCCAGCTCTGGGTATTAGTGTAATCCCGTGCACCGGTGTGATACTGAGCGATTCATTTTAACTTTCTGCTATGTATTTTACCTGAATTTACCTGTAGTGCAGCGTTCTCTTATTGTGAATATTGTAGACTTATACTTCTATATTTGTCCATCGAAATGAAATCAGTTTATGCAATTAAACAGTTAACCTTGCAGATGAGACAGGGTTATTATTAGTGTGCATAATTAGAACAGTTAATCTTGAAATTTTTTACTTAATTGGCATTCTTGTGCCCGTATATCAATTAGTTCAGAAGTGTATATAGGTTTGTAAAACATTAAACCATTCATGGCTACTGTACTTCATAAATTTACCTGAGGACGACCATCTAATGGCCTTGATGGGACAGGAAACCAGTAGCTTGTCAAAAAGTTTCCCCATTCCACAATTTGATGGGGTTTGCATTGGTATATAATATTAGCACATTTTGAGTTGTGGAGGCTATTGTATACAGCTGCAAGAACTGAGTACAGGGAACATAGATGAGTAATAAATTGTGCTACTGCTCTTGTAGGCAGCTTCATGTAAGGTCATTATATATATAATAAATTTAAGTGTATATAGCTGACAGTCTGATTAGAACATCAAACAATATATTTATTGCAAACTTATTTTCACTGCTAGGGTACATAAGGTTAGGTTATGGCATTCAAAATATCAGGGTTGAGCACCCTCACTCAGTAATGTCAAACAAGCAAGTGATTCATTGTGGCTCAGTCACAGTCTCTCTAATGCATGGCTTAAGTTTCCTCCCAGTGGTTAAATCAGGCAGCCCATCCTTTTTTGGTAGTACTTATAGGAAGGATGAGGACCATGTTACATATACCAACATACAATGCAATTAGAAAGTAGAAATTTGTACTATTGCATTTGTACACACTGGAAAACAATTTTCTATATGTTGCCAAGATGAACTAAACTAACCTAACCTAAACTTCCTAGGCCTAATACATGCTATCTGATGCCTAATATAGAACATTGTGTGTGTTATACTATCTTCTTGAGGTTATCTTGAGATGCAGACGAGGAGTCACAATAACGTGGTTGAAATATGTTGACCAAACCACACACTAGAAAGTGAAGGGATAACGATAGTTGGTACGTCCTGGACCATTTTCAAGTCTAAAATCAATTTGAGAATGGTCCAGGGCGGACCGAAATGGCGTCGTACCTTCACTTTCTAGTGTGTGGTTTGGTCAACTTGTCCTAAGATGATTTCGGGGCTTAGCGTACCCGCGGCTTGGTCCTTGACCAGGCCTCCTTTTTGTTACACAACCCCAGGAAGTAGCCCGTACTAGCCGTCTTACTCCCAGGTACCTATTTACTGCTAGGTAATGGGCATCAGGGTGAAAGAAACTGCCCCTTTGTTTCCACCTTCACCAGGGATCGAACCTCAGGACTACGAATCTGAAGCACTGCCTAATCAGCTGTCAGGCCCCTAGGAAGTACTAGGCCTAAGAATATTTAAGTTCGTTTTTTAGCTTCATTTTTTGGACTTTATAACTACAGTAGTACAAAGTTCTACTATCTAATTGCTTAGTATGTCAATGTTTGTACTTTGGTGCACAAAGTTCAAATTCAAATGCAAATAAGTTTATTGAGGTATAAATACACACAAAGGGATGAGGTAGCTCAAGCTATTCTCACCCCATCTGGTGCACATAGTAGTAGTGGTGGTAGTAGTTGTAGTAGTAGTAGTAGTAGTAGGCATCATTGGATGATAAAAGGGCAGCAAACACTCTAAATGAATACTTTACATCAGTGTTCACACTAGAAAGATTGAATGACATCCCATCACCCACACAAATGTTTGAAGGAGGTGAAGAGAATGGATTAAGGGATATACCCATTACATGTGGCACAAGCAGAAAGAGAATTAGCAAACTAAAAAGACTCAAAAGCCCCGGGTGTTGATGGATTTAAATAAAAAATTATAAAGGAACTGTCACTATGCATACCACCGAAACTCCTATTCAGAAAATCCCTAGACCAAGGGATAGTTCCCCTAGATTGCAAATATGCAATTGTCACTCCTATTTAAAAAAAAAAAAAGGCAGAATGAGCTCGGCAAAAACTACCGTTTGATCAGCTTGACATCCTCATCTGCAAGCTCATGGAGAGAATCCTAAGGGAGGGCATCATCCAACATCTCGCAGAGAACAATCACAGAGTGCCAGACCCGATCAAAGGCTCCTGCTATGACTAAAGCAACAACACAGCTGATCATGAACTCATCCAGAGACTTAGTGGAGAGATTTAGCAAGAGATCAGCATCAGATCGACCTATTCTAAAACCATACTGTCGATCACATATTAGCCGATGATGGTCAAAAAATTATATAATTTACTGAACAATTAATGATTCTAGGATCTTGCCAGTAATGGAGAGCAGTGACACTGGTCTGTAGTTATATATATATATATATATATATATATATATATATATATATATATGCGGAAAATCCACAGAGAAATATGAAATGAGGTGAACGTTTCGGCTTTGTTAAAGCCTTTGTCAACACCAGACTGACTGAGGAGAAGGGAGAAGGGGGGAAGATATATAGGCCGACACCTGACCAACGATGGTCAGGTGTCGGCCTATATATCTTCCCCCCTTCTCCCTTCTCCTCAGTCAGTCTGGTGTTGACAAAGGCTTTAACAAAGCCGAAACGTTCACCTCATTTCATATTTCTCTGTGGATTTTCCGCATAAAATGATCAGTGTTTTGTGATCGTCAATTGCATATATATATATATATATATATATATATATATATATATATATATATATATATATATATATATATATATATATATATATATGCAATTGACGATCACAAACACTGATCATTTTATGCGGAAAATCCGCAGAGAAATATGAAATGAGGTGAACGTTTCGGCTTTGTTAAAGCCTTTGTATATATATATATATATATATATATATATATATATATATATATATATATATATATATATATATATATATATATATATATGCGAACAAGCCTGAATGGTCCCCAGGACATATGCAACTGAAAACTCACACCCCAGAAGTGACTCGAACCCATACTCCCAGAAGCAACGCAACTGGTATGTACAAGACGCCTTAATCCACTTGACCATCACGACCGGACAAAATGAGGTGATAGCCGAGGCTATATGAACCACCCCACCGCCGGCACTCGGATAGTTATCTTGGGCATAGCATTTCACCTCAAAGAATGACGTGATTCGGCTATCACCTCATTATGTCCGGTCGTGATGGTCAAGTGGATTAAGGCGTCTTGTACATACCAGTTGCGTTGCTTCTGGGAGTATGGGTTCGAGTCACTTCTGGGGTGTGAGTTTTCAGTTGCATATGTCCTGGGGACCATTCAGGCTTGTTCGCATTTGTGTTCCTCACGTGTGCCCCAAAGAATGAGGTGATTTGGTAAAATGCTATGCCCAAGATAACTATCCGAGTGCCGGCGGTGGGTGGTTCATATAGCCTCGGCTATCACCTCATTATGTCCGGTCGTGATGGTCAAGTGGATTAAGGCGTCTTGTACATACCAGTTGCGTTGCTTCTGGGAGTATGGGTTCGAGTCACTTCTGGGTGTGAGTTTTCAGATATATATATATATATATATATATATATATATATATATATATATATATATATATATATATGAGGTGATAGCCGAGGCTATATGAACCACCCCACCATATCATATTCATATAGTTCATATAGTTCATATAGGGTGGTTCATATAGCCTCGGCTATCACCTCATTTTGTCCGGTCGTGATGGTCAAGTGGATTAAGGCGTCTTGTACATACCAGTTGCGTTGCTTCTGGGAGTATGGGTTCGAGTCACTTCTGGGGTGTGAGTTTTCAGTTGCATATGTCCTGGGACCATTCAGGCTTGTTCGCATATATATATATATATATATATATATATATATATATATATATATATATAC